AAGTCAAGGTCAAGCCAGTAAGTGGCACAGCCAGGCTTTAAGCCTGTGTCTAGCAGACCCCTGAGCTTTAATCTTACCCACCATATTTTCAGCTTCCCGTAAGCTCTGGTGTCAAGAAGAGGCAGAGGGGGGTGGCCTCAGTGTGACCTTCCCAGCCTGGGGGACCCTTTGGCTAAGCAGAAGAACCCAGGTGGGTCCCTGGGCATGCCAGGGGCTCAGGGAGGGGAGTGAGTGGGCTGGGCATGCCCCTGACCCCTCTTTGTCCACAGATCAGCCAGGTCTTGGGCAATGAAATCAAGTTTGCTGTTCGGGAGCCTTTGGGGCTGAGGTGAGCGTCGAGCGTGGGTTTTGGTGGGTGCCGGGTTATAGGCAGGTGCTGCGTGAGGCCCCGCCTCGTCAGCTTTGCCCCCGTGTCCCTGTGCCTGTGACTCCATCCCATTGCATTCCCTCCCCCTAAAACCAGTCATCCCTGGACCTCTTGGCTGGAGAGGGAAGGGTCCCCTGGGGCCTGGAGGTGGCAGCGAGTGGGCCTGGCTGTGACTTTTCTCTCCACGCCCCCAGGGTTTGGCAGTTTGCTTCTGCTGTGCTCTTCTCCGGCATTGCCATCATGGTGAGCCCCCCTCCCGCCCCCCAGGACCTGGCCCTGGGTCTGGCTCCCTATGTCCCGCCTCCGGGCCTCTCCTGGGGGCTCCCCTCCTGCCTTGGGGCTGCCTCTCCCCGCATGGCCCCGTGCTGAGGCCCTGCCTGTCAGGGCTCTCTAGCTCCCTCCACAGTCCCAGCCTGAACCCTGCCTGCTCTGGAGCATCCTGGATCGCATGGTCCATGTTCCTGACTCCTTGCCCCTGGGAATCTAGAGCCTTCTGTCCTGACACAGGGGAGTGGGGGACAGCCACGGCTCTGACACTGGACTACCCCAGACACCTCAGCCTGGCTTCGGGGCGGGGGGGAAGAAGGAAGATGTCCAGGGGGTGTTTCAGCAGCAACCCCCTCCCACTTTACTCTGAACTGCCCACCCATGCCCGCAGGCCCTCGCCTTCCCTGACCAGCTCTATGATGCCGTCTTTGATGGAGCCCAGGTGACCAGCAAGACCCCCATCCGCCTCTACGGTGGTGCGCTCCTCAGTGAGTATTGCTAGGACAGACGTGATGGGCAGCTGCGGCCCAACAGAGACGGAGAGGAGCTTGGTGAAGCCTTTCTTTGTGCAGGGGCTCCCCTTCCCAGCACCCAGCACCCCGCCTACCCCCTTCAGTCTCTGCTGGGTGTGTGCTGCCATCTTGTGGCCACTGCTGGAATACACCCAGGGGACGGGGCTGCGTCTCTGCCATCTTCTGGGGCAAAGGCTTACCGAGTGCTTACTGTGTAGTGCACCCCCTGGTCATTGGGGTGCGGAGATGAATGAGGCTCAGGCCCTGCCCTCCAGGACCTCGCCACCTAGAGGAGGAGGCAAAATCAACACAGTGTCTGGAAAATCCCTCCCACCCTTGGGCCTCTCGTTTGAACCGTCCTGTTTCCTCTCCGATTTGAGTCACACACAGTGCCTGGTAGGAAGCTGAAGTACAGCTTTTAAAGCTTAGCACAGGTAGCGTCCGTCCTCTTCACCCGAACATTCTATGGCTCCCTTTTGCCTGCAGAATAAAGGCCCAGTCCCTCCACCTGGCTTTCGGGGTGGTCTGTGGGGTGGATCCAGCCGACCTTCCCAGACCTGCCTCCCCCAGATCCCACAGTGGGCCCCGGACCCCAGCCACATGTCATGATGCCCAGCCTTGCTGTTTCAGCAGGCCTCCCTGCCTCTGTACACGCAGTCTCCCCAACCTCGTGCCCATGGCGCCAACACCCATCCCTCAAGGGTCTGCATCGGTACCGGGGGAGGGGGCAGGGGCTGGTGGTCACTGGGGCGCCTTCAAGCCCTTCACCCAGGCAGTGGGAGACCTAGGGTTATGCGGTTAGGTCGGATGACGGATGAGTTTTAATTTGGGGAGTGTGCGTGGGGGTGGGGGATGTAGAAATCTGGGATCCCGCCCCGCTCCCAAGGGGGTGGGTGGATCAAGCTGCCGGCTCCCAGTCTAGCCTTCTTCCCCCGCCCCAGGCATCTCCCTGATCATGTGGAACGCTCTCTACACGGCCGAGAAGGTTATCATCCGATGGACTCTGCTCACCGAAGCCTGTTACTTTGGGGTCCAGTTCTTGGGTGAGTCCTGCGGTGGTCAGCGAGACAGGGAGGCTGATGGGGTGGGGGGTGCGGGCAGGGCAGCTTGGCCCCTGGCTCTCCAGCTCCTGCCACTTGGCTTCCAGGAAGGGATGGAAATCTGAAATCTGTCTGGGGGGAGGGGCTCACGCGGCCGTGTTTACCTGTATGTCTGCACACTAGTGCTCACACTCTGGACACATACGTGTACCTTCTTGAATATACGTCATGCGCGTCCACGGCCTCCCACACGCACGTGCACCCGCAGCCTCCCCTAACCCATCGCTCACTTGTGTACCCAGCGCAGGTCGACAGCGCATACCCAGTGTGGCCCCCACGCTCGCCCTCACCCCCGTACCTGCCCCGTGGGGGACATCAGACCAGACATGTCCGTGAGGTCCGGCGGCCGGCAGGAGCCCCCGGCGCAGCAGGTCAGCCTGTGTTGGGGGCTGAGGCACACCCCTCCTCTGACCTCTGTCCCCTCCCGGTCTTTCTCCCGCAGTGGTCACTGCCACGCTAGCTGAGACGGGCCTCGTGTCCCTGGGGATCCTGCTGCTTCTGGCCAGCCGCCTCCTTTTTGTCGCCATCAGCGTTTACTACTATTACCAAGTCGGCCGAAAACCCAAGAAGGTCTAGCCACTCGCTGGGCCAGGGGCCCCTGTGGAGCAGGGAGGCCCCGGGACCTCCATTTCCCTCTGGCTCCTGGAAGGCAGGAAGGACCCCACTCGCCTTCCTTTCCTCCTGGGCACCCCCAAATGCTGTGATCTCCTGGACTTTCAGGTTTGGGGAGAGACAGAGCCTCGGCACCTCTGCCCTTCGCCCCACACAGCACCGCCTCCTTTTCTTGGCTCTCTTGGCCTCTGGATCCCCTGGATAGACACTGACTGAAGAGCTTGAGTCATGGGGTATTGGGCTAAGGCGAGGCTCCTGCCCCTTCCGCCAGGAGGCCCTTCTTTGGTTTGAGAGAGGTGTGCCCTGCTCCCCCGTCCTCCCCGCACCCCCACCCAGTCTAGTGCCCACACAGCTGAACGTGGCCTCTATGTATGCCTGGGGAATCTGACCGCTTGACCCTGTGCCCGTACTCGGCGTGGGCCCTCGCCACCCGTGGGAGCTGCCGTCGGCCCCGTCGGCGCACGTCCCGGCCCTTTGCACAGCCCAGCTGTGGGGCTGACAAGCCGGGATGGCTGTCTTTGAGCTGGTACCTCCCTCTTCAGCCTCTCTGTGAGGCGGGCCACCTGTAGCCAGAGCCTGTCCCCAGCCCAAGCCCGGCCACCACAGGCTCTGTCCTAGGACCTTGCTCTAGGCTGTTCTGCCTCCAGCCCAGCCCCTGGAGGCTCCCAGGAGCCGCCTCCCCGCAGCTGGCCTGGGTCCAGAGGCCACCAGCAGCCTCCCTCCCCCCCAGGCCGGCCCTGGCAGTGGGCACAGAGCGAACCCTGTGGAGGCTCCTGTGAGTGATGGGGTTTGGAGATGAGGAAGAAAGAGAAGCAGCGGCATTTCCTGGCCCCTTGGTATGTCCTTCAGGGTCTGCTGTCCGCTTGGCTCAGCCCCCTCACCTACCCTCACCCTCTCCCCAGGGTGCTGCCCTGAGACCCGGCGGGCTAGGACTGGGTGCCCTTCCAACTCAGCACAGGAAATAAATAGAAATATCTCAGCAGGCCTCGCTCACGTCCCCCACCCCAAGTGCCCTGGAGGAGGCGACGAGCGGCTCCCTCGGAGCTGAAGCACCCCCTGCCGTCCCGCCGCGCCCTTCCCGGCCCGTGGGCCCCCGTTGTCTGTCACTCCCCATGCTCCCCTTCCCTCTGGGACACAAGCATGTGCCCCAGGCGTGGTGGCCCTCATGTTCTGGGGACAGGTGTGGAGAAAGGCAGCCCGGGCCCCGCACTTGCTTCTCGTCTTGGAATCGAGTGTGTTCGGTGGGGCGAGGTGGGTGGTCTGCAGGGGCGGCCCGGCTCTGGCTGCTGCCGGCTACACCCCTGCCCGGGAACCTTGCCCTGTCGGCGCCGGGCCCACTGTCCCTGCAGCCACGCAGCTGGTCCCCAGCAGAGCAGTGCGACTGCTTCTGTCCCACAGCTGAGGGGAGAGGCCTCGTGAGTCGGGGAGCAGACAGGGACCTGGTGGCTAAGGAGAGGCTGGGCTCTTTCCTCACCTCCGTCTCCTGCAGTGTGGGTCCCTGCCCAGAATCCGGCTGCTTGCTCGCCTACCTGTCCTCCAGGGCCACAGTCCTGTCCTCCTGACGCAGGCCTTTTAAGGCCTCCTGACGTCGGCTCCTCCTCCGACGGGTGATGGGTGGTTTGTCCTTGTGCCCAGTGGGCATGGTGGCCGGCCGGGAAGTCGAAAGCTCGGGCTGGCCAAGCGGCCTCACCGCCCGCGCGGCCTTGCCCCTTGGGTGGTCAGGAGGGCCTGCCGGGATGACGCTAGCTTGACATTCCATGCTGCTGGCTTGGACATCGGCGCTAGGCCCAGGGGGAGGGAGCCTGGCAAACAGCCATGTGGTCTGGGGACATGGGGCGGGGGCACATTAAGGCAAGGAGCCATTGCTGGGATGGAGGCAGGGACGATGGAGAGGGGGACCCACACATCTGAAGAAGACCCAGGGTGGGCCCAGCTCTCCATCCTGAAGGCTTGGGACGACTCCCCCCGACCACCACCACCCTCTACCCTTGTCCCTGGAGCCCAGCACCCTCCGGCCAAGCTCCCGCCTCAGCCCCCATCTCCCCCCACCCCAAGCAAGACCACCTTTCTTCACAGTCACTATTTATTCTTCGTTCCTTCTTCTTTTTGTAAGAAACAGTCACAAAAACCAGTGCAAAACCATCAGTGTGGGTGTCCTGTTTTATATTACAAAAACTCCTCTTGATATAGAATATAAAAAGGGGGGGCTCCCAGGAAATAAACATGATAAATTAGCTCTGCTATCTACCGCAAGGAACATTTACAGTTTTCAAAATAGACTTTCGACCTAGGACCCACGGGGGGAAGGGAAGAGGGGGCTTCTGGGAGATGGGGATGCTGGGGCCTTGGCTGGTTTGGGGTGTCCGGTCTGGGCCCCTTAGGCATGGAAGGACGAGAGGGACAAGAGAGCCTCCAAACCCTTTGGATGGCTTCCCTCTTCCAAGAGGCAGGGGCTCTTCCCTGAGGGCAAGCACCTTTTGCCTGTCCTGGGCTGTATGTGGACCGGCCCAGTTAGATCTCAGTGCCTGGGAAGGGGGCAAGCCTGACTGGGGCTGGGCTCTAGTCTTCACGCCTCGGAATGGCTGCAGACAACCTTGCAGACCCCTACCAGCCTGGTCAGTGCTAGAGACTGCCCGCTCTCCCTTTCCAGCCCCGGTGTGGGCAGCGGCGGATTCGGGGCTCCTTGGTACCTTTCGGGAAAGCCCTTGGGGATGAGGCTCACCACCCGCCCTTGAACCTGCCTCAGCCAGATGTTCCTCTGGGACCTGCCCTGCCTCCCACTGATTCTCACGGGGGTGGGGGGTGGCAAGGGGTGGGAATGGACAAGACTGGGGGAGGGAGGGGGGCGGGTGCCAGAGGCCAGGCCCTTCTTACCTTGAAGGCCCCAGATTCTCCTGGCTGCTAGGGGACCAGATGGGACCCGGAGGCCTGGGATGCCCCTGGACTGGAGCCACACGGCTGCCCCGTGAGATCAAGTCCCGCTGTTTTTATTTTTGTCGACCTCAGACCAGCCATTTGCCTCTGCCAGGAAGCTGGAGCCAAGCATGTGGGTGGGTGGGTCTAGAGAGGAGCAAGCCCAAGGCCTTGCTCAGGCTGGGCTGGGCTACCAGCTGCAGGGCGCTCTGGGTCCTGGGGACGCCCAGTCGCTGGGGAGTTCATGGCATCATGTCCGGAGCTGCCAGGGCGGGCTGTTACAGGGACAATATGGAAAGCCCCAGCTTGGAGACCAGGAGGGGGGCCTGGGACTGGGGGGGGGGGAAGGGGGGCCAGCAGAAGGATGGGATGGGGAAGGGGAGAGTGGGGAGGAGGGTCAAACCCAACTTTTACAGCAGGCACAGAGCTCAGGGCTGCATCTCTAAAGGGGGTCGGTGGCAGAGCAGGGAGGCACAGGGCTCCAGCCATAGCTCCGTCTCTCCCAGTGGCTGGCAAGCTGGGAGGCTGGAAGCTGACCCAGGGCCTGGGATTCAGAATGGGCTCCCCCCAGACCCTGAAGGGGGGCTGTGGGGAGGAGAGAGGGCACCATGCTTACCCTCCCAACGCCATGCCTGTGGCAGACATCACTAATCAAGCCTTAATTGTCTGGCTGACATCACCAATCAAGATTATGCTGTCCTCCCCACCCCCTGACCCCAGGCCAAAGCTCAGATCCTCTGAACAGCCCCCGGCAGTCACTCCTGATTCACTGGGGTGGAGGCATCTTGCAATACAGTTGCCAACACTGGTCTAGAATGTGAGGCCTGTGTATGAGGGACTGGTTTGTGGGTGCTGTGTGGGTGTGAGTCTAGGGGAAAACCTCTCCCTGCCCGAGCCTGGAAGAAACACTCAGAAGTGTGCTATGGACCATGAAGGGACAGGAAGCCATGTGGCAGCAGAAATGAGATGTCTTGGAGCTCTTTAGCCTGCAGAAAATGGGGCTTGGGGGAGGCAATGTGTGGCCTTAATACTTTGGGAAGGAGAGAGAGTGAGTGGGATGCCATGGATGGAACCAGAGAAAAACAGAGAACTCTAATGTGCACTGAGCTGATGCTAAAAAATCAAAGCAGTCCGAAGACAGAAGTCTGTCTTGGGAGGTAGTAAGCTCCCCATCATTGGAGGTATGCAAGAAGAGGGTGGCGAAGTCTTGGCAGAGATCTTGCAGAAGACATCCAAGCCTCAGTTCTGGGTGGGGAGAGGAGAACCAGATGATCTTGGGGGTTCCTTCCAGCCCTGGGAGCCACAGAGTTGATGGAGAATAGGGAAGGGGTTGGGCTTGTAGGAAGAAGTGGGCAGTGTGGAAAAGAGACTGTCGTGTGTGTGTGTGTGTGTGTGTCCCTAGGGGCTTAGAAAGAAGTATGGGGAGGTGGGAGGGGAGCAGGGAGGACAGTCCAGAATTTTCTTAGCTGTGGAGCTGGGAAGTTCTTGACCAGCTGGCTTTCTCTCTCCTGGGGAAGGCAGGATGCTGAGGCCAGGGAGGGGTGTGAGCAGCAGATCTGCTGGGACCTACAGAGGCCTGGAAGGAGCAACAGGCAGCCGAGGGACGACTGGGTTCTTGTTCAGAATTGTCATGCATATGCTGTGTGACTGTGAATGAAAAAGTACCCCTCTCTGGGCTTTCCAGATTATTTGATCCAACAGATGAGGGAAGCAAGGACCCCGCCAGCTAGGCCATTCTTGGATCCAGTATCTGCAGCCCACTCTTGGCCCCAGCCTGGGGCAGGGATAATTCCATCCTCAGAGGACCAGGGGTTGAACGTAGGTTCCAAGTTCTTAAGGACATGGTGACTGAGTCTCCTTGGGGCCCCCCGGGGCTTTGTCGACCTCTGAGAGTTGCTTTTGCTTCCTTGTTGGCTAAATCCACACTTTCTTGGCATCTGGAGCTGAGGAGAAGGCCCAGGCCCGGGGCTGCCAGAGGCTGGTGGGACCGAGGAGGGAACCTGGTCCTGGGGTTCCTTTGGTCTCTAGTGCAGACTCCTCCCTGGGGTTCAGGTGCCAGGACCCCTGCAGAGAGCCCATGGCACCCACCCGGAGACCAGGCGGGGTCCATCAATCTGTAGTCTTGTCTTCATTTTGTTGTGTTAAAAAAATAGCTATTTTCCTCTGCCCCTTCTCCTGGCCACTCATCATGACCTCACCTCCTCCCCTGGGGCCAAGAGGGCAGGGGCACCGGGGAGGGGAGGGCTTTGGGTGCTGGGCAGTGATGGTGGGTGAGGCTTCAGGCTCCAGGCCACGCCCTCTACTGGATGCCCCGGAAGAGACACATGGCAAAGATCATGGCGAAAAGCTGCAGAGAAAGTAGAAGTTGGCTTGTCAGCCTGGGCTCCCAGCCAGGCACGGGGCTGTCCCACCCCAAGGGGAAGTAATCATCGGCCCAGAAAGGGGGCTTACCCATCGCTGGGCACACTCCTGCAGGAGGGATCCCTGACGTTCCCTGAGGGCAAGCACCTTTTGCCAGCCACTGGTCCCCTTCGTGCAGCATAGGCATGGAAAGAAGGGGGCTTTGGACATGGGTTCATATCTAGCTCCCCTATTTGCCAGCAGCAACCTTGAGCCAAACGTGTCCCTTCTCTGGGCCTGAGCCTGTCCTGAGGGCTTCCTGAGCGACAGGCCCAGTTCTAAGTGTTTTCTCAGAAACCTTTGACAGAGCAGGAGGCAAGGCACAGAGAGGTCATGCAACCCGCCTAAGGTCACACAGCTGCAAGGGAGCTGGGGTTTGAGCCTAGGCACTCTGACCCCACAGCCCATGCTGAGAAGTGCTGCGCACCCCGCTTTCTAGCTCACAGGAGGGGAGTAAGACTGAAGTATAAGGTGATTAATGAGGCAGTGATGCCCGTTAGATAGTGGATGTGGGAGAAAGTGCCCAGCATCATTAACAGGCCGGGAAGATGTAGCCCTTGCTAGAGTTGAGAGCACAATCGAACACCTCCCTAGGGCCCTGGGGGAGGCGGCGGTGGGCAGGCAGAGACCCAGATTCAGGGATGCCCCTCTGACCAGAATGGCTGAGGCCCCCACAGACAGGGGTCTTCTTGCAAGTAGCACAAGGGATAGTCCCCAGACCACAGGCTCAGGGCCAGATCTCTGGTCGGGGAATTGGGGTGGGGGAGGCGAGGCCGGGACAGGGATACAGCAAAAATCCCTTTTTGGGAGCATAGCTCTGCCTCCCATCAGGGTGCAGCTGGGCTTGTGGGTGGGGGGGCGGTGAGGACAGCAGGTCAAGAATACAGACATTGTCTAATAAGCCCCTAGTACAACCCGCCAGGCATGGAGTCCCCATCCTCTGCCATCCTCACAACGCCCCGCAGCAACCCCGGCCTGGGAGCAGGGTAGTAGCTCCATTTTGCAGAGAAGTCCTTTATGGCCCAGAGGCCCCATCTGGGGAGACGCAGAGCTGGAGTTAACCCCGAAAAGCCCGTGTTCTTCCTGCACGGGACACACGCCTGTGGATCCCACAGTCCCAGCAGATTTATCTGTCTCTCGTTCATTCCCCCCGCCCCGTCAGAGACTTTGTTCGCCTGGAACCGTGCTGGCATACAGTAGGGGCTCAATCTGTGCTTGCTGAATGAACGAATAAATGACCCCTCCCTCTGCCCCATCTCCAGTAGTCTCCACAAAACTGCTCCACGTGGGGCTAGAGGACACCCTGAGAAGGAGGGGCAGGGAGGCTGCCTGACTTCGTCTCCCCGCCCGCCCACGACTGGCTGAGGCCCGGGAGTGGTCTTTCCTGGAGATGGTCAGGCACCGGCTACGCGGTCAGTCCAAACTCCGGGAGGAGAGGTTTGAGATCCAGGAGCGGGGGAGGTGGGGAGAAAGGAGGGGCAGCTCCGCCCCTCGGCTGAAGCGCCACCTGGTGGCGGCGGCCGGAGTCTGCAGCTGCCTTCCTTTCGAGGGGGCTCCGGGACTGGGGCTGAAGGGGGTTTAATTAAGACCGTCCTTGTGAGGTCGACAGGGCCCCACAGGCCCTGAACCCCCCCGCAAAGAAAGGGCCTGATCTAGAAGCACAAGCCGCAGCCCCTCCCTCCAGGCAGCGGTGTTGAAAGTCTGTGGAGTTCTCTCTGGATCTCTGGGGAGGATTAGCCAGAGAGGAACAGGGATGGGGAGGCAGTGGGAGGAAGATTAGGGGGTGACTCTCAGAGCCTGCCCACTCACTGCCGGAGACTTGCTCAGATGAGCCCAGAGTCCAACAGTGACTCAGGCAACAGAGAGACCCAGCTGGGCTTACCGCCCCACAGTTCCCGCAGTGGGGGACCCATTTGGTCCTGGATTTAGGATGTGGAGACAGAAGTAGGCTGGGCGGTGCAGGCCATGGGGGATCTCTCCGGGACCCCATCTGTGCCTTGCTTCTGGGGAGCCGCAGAAGTGGGGGCTTTTACTTACCTCGATGGCCAGCACCCCTATGGCGAGGGCTCCAGCCAGGTAGACGTAGGTTTCAAAAGTGTTGAGGATCACTGTGTAACAGCCCTGGGAGGGAAGGACCAGAGGTGAGGCCATAGCTGGAGACAGTCTGGGGCCAGGGGCCAGCATCAGGACCGAAGCATGAAGCCTGGGAACTGGCCTGTGGCCCCAAGCTCGGGCAGCAGCAGGCTTACCCTGTCAAACCCCTGTTGGCACCGCTTGGTGGGGAGGGGGTGGGGGGCAGGAGGCTCATGAGCAGCAATTTGGCAGCATGACGCCAAAGCCCCTCCTGGCCCTCCAGCTCCTCAGGTGGGGCTGGGAACGGCCAGCCTGAGCACCGCATCCACCATAAACGCTTTGGGTAGCAGCCACAGCGATTGGAATAATGAAAAACTTCCCCCAAATATCTGGCCTCCCTGCTGCTCTCGAAAACCCAGGAGATCCAGGGGCGCCTGGTGGCTCAGTCGTTAAGCGTCTGCCTTCGGCTCAGGTCATGATCCCGGGGTCCTGGGATCGAGCCCCGCACTGGGCTCCCAGCTCCGCGGGAAGCCAGCTTCTCCCTCTCCAGCTCCCCCTGTTTGTGTTCCCTCTCTCGCTATGTCTCTCTCTGTCAAATAAATAAAATCTTAAAAAAAAAAAGAAGAGAAAAACCAGGAGATCCAGCAAGTGGAGTCATCATCTCTATATAGCGGTCCCTGTCAGATGGGACAAGGGTTCCCTGGGGGTCCACAACCCCCGTCATTCCCTGTTGAGCTACACCCACCCTCTCCACTCCTTCTTATTACCTGCCTGCTGGCTGAAGGATTTTGGTGTTCAGCCTCTGCCCTAAGGAAACAGCCCATTCCTCAAAGCCCAGCGCACCCTTTACCTCCTCCGGGCAGCCTTCCAAGACGAGCCCAGCCCTCCAGGCCCCTCTAAATGGATGAATTCCTGTGTTACTACTGCTCTTTCAAGCAGCGCTGGGGATATACACACTGAGATAAAGATGGATATAGACACACAGAGAGAGCACGAGCGATGCCCTCCACTGTTTACCATTGAACTCCAATGAGCAGAAATGAGGAAATCCCGAAAGAAGGTGATCCATGATGAATATTCAGACTCCCCCACTGGTATGAGTCAAACCCACCAATGCAGTTTTTCCAGCTCTTCTTCAGCCTTCCCTGGGTCAAGACAGTCACCCAGGCAAGTCAGGAATGTGTTCTCCTGCTGGAAACGAATCCAGGGCTCTCCCAATAGATGATGACCTTGCTAGAGAGGCCACGAAGATCACAGAGACCAGGCTTTGACTGACCGATGCCCTCACCTTGAGCCAGTCTTGCCCTACTCACTCTGCTCCAGCCCTACTGGCCTCCCTCTCTTGGTTCCTGGAGCACACCATGCTCCTTCCCACCCCAGGGCCTTTGCACATGCTGCTCTCACTCTCTGGCTGGAATACTCTTCCCATGCCAGGAGGATGAGAGTGTAGCTCTTTATGTCGACCATCACAGCAGCACCCAGACTCACAACCTGCCAGGGAGTGGGTGGGGAGCACTGGGGATAAAGCAGAGGAATGTGATGCTGTGAGGAGAGAGGGCTTAAGATCACCCAGACAGATGGGGAATATGGATGGTTTCCTATTGGTGGTCACCACTCTGGCCTGGAGTCAAGCTCTAGCAAGGTCATCATCTACTGGGAGAGCCCCGGATTCGTTTCCAGCAGGAGAACACATTCCTGACTTGCCTGAGTGACTGTCTTGACCCAGGGAAGGCTGAAGAAGAGCTGGAAAAACTGCATTGGTGGGTTTGACTCATACCAGTGGGGGAGTCTGAATATTCATCATGGATCACCTTCTTTCGGGATTTCCTCATTTCTGCTCATTGGAGTTCAATGGTAAACAGTGGAGGGCTAACTGAACATCCACAGATGAGTGCCCTCTGCCTTGGCCCTTGATGGCCACATAACCGAGTCCTGGCCATCAAGATCTATACAGATGTCTACTGGGGCTTTCTGGGAAAGACGGTGGTGCCATGCTTTCCCTTCTGTCTTAAACATGGGTGGGATGTCTGGAGCCATGGCAGCCATTTTGCCATCAAGGAAAGGCCACGAAGATCACAGAGACCAGGCTTTGACTGACAGGACAAAGCTACTGATGTAATGGGAGAAGCCACCACCTTCCAGAATTCTTGCTGTGTGTGAAACACAGAGGGCATTTGCATAAGCCCCTTTAGTTGGGATTTCGGGTCCTTGCATTCAGACGTTTTGCTCACTGATTCAAGACTGTGACGGGGATGCAAGGCACAGTCAGAAATGCACCCTGGGCTTTAGGGAAATGGGCTTTGGAGAAAAACCAAATAGTGATAGTCCCTCCACAGAGGCTTTGAAAAGGAAGGATGCTCAGGGGGGATGTGAGGGTCTCTGAAAAGGATCCCAGAAAAGGATCTCAGGAGGAACAGAGGAAGAGGCACCATAAAGAACTCAGGCAGCTGCAGGGACCCTCCCAAGGAGCTCTGATCCCAAAGTCATGCGCAGGAGATGGAAGGAGGTGTCATCACCAAGGATGAGTCCCAAAATGGGAAGTTTATGAGGATGAAGCCCTACAGGAACAATGAAGCCTCCCTGAACAATCCACAGGTGGCCTCAGGACATAGGCTTGGCTCTGGGCACCAGGCATCCCAAACAGCAGGGCCTTGGACAAGGCTGGACAAGCTAGAAGTTTGTTTGCCTTTCGTATGAAATCCTCAGCTGAGGTGGCCCGCCTGTTTCATGCAGCCTTCAGCGGCCCAGGCCCCTCTCATAATGCCCTGACATCCTAGGGCACCACCTTCCGCGGCCACGTCCCAGATGGCGATCACCACAGCTTCATGCCTGCCAGGGGGGAACGGAGGAGGGGCCGGCCCTGTGGTTTCTCTTAAAGACCAGATGCAAGTTGTATAAATGGCTTGGCTGCTGCGGGGTCACTTGGCCTCCCTGCCAGGGAAGCAGGAAGTGAAGTTTTTCCCTGGTGGCGATGGCATCTTCTAAACGCCATCTTTCCAAGGAGGACTGCTGGCTCTGCGACGGTATGAGGAATCTGAGGTCCAGAAAGGGTGTCACAGCAGGTAACAGTCCGGGCCTGCCTGACATCGAAGCCTGAGACCTCCCCCGCCTCCCCTCCATGTCCTGCAGCTTCTCCTGGAGGCTGAGACCCAAGCCCTTGGTGGCCCTCCCTGCCCCAAGCTCACAGTGGCCTGAACCCAGGGCCCCTGTGAAGTCCTCTGACACCACGTGTGTGGGGGAGGGGGTGCTGAGTTCCAAGCTGAGGCTGAGAAGACCTCAGCGGAGGGCCAGGGGCAGGCCTCAGCACGCGGCACCTCTTCTTGGGGCTCTCCGAGGCCTGCCCTATGGCCCCCATCCCAGTCTTGTCCAGCTTGGCATCTGGTTTTATTTTCTTTATAGTAATCATGACCATGTGAAATTATTACTTATAGTTTGCTCCTTGGTTATCATGCGCTTTCTTTAAGTAGATCATGAGTGCCTTGTCTCCCATCTCTTGCTGTGTCCCTTGCATCTGGAACTCTCCCAGGAGCTCCTCGTGAGAAGCCTAATCAAGCGAGGGGCATGGGGCATGCCCTGGGTTCATCCTTGTTTTCGCCCTCCCACCCCCAGCCTGGTCTCACACACACACACCGGAGGGGCCAGGGGCCCAGGGAGGGTTGCTGCTCAGTGGGAAGGAGGAATCAAGTACAAGGGCACTATCTGTCTCACAGCGGGTGTGTGTGTGTGTGTGCGCACAAAGCAGGGGCCCTGTGTCCCCCCGAGACGGCATGTGCAAGAAAGGGAAAGGGCTTCTTCCTGGGACTGAGATAAAGTCCTTGGGTGGCAAGAGAAACAAAGAGTCTGGTAGTTTCCCTGACCTTGGAGGAGAACCTTGCTCCCTGGGGGTCAGAGGGGGCTTCTATATGGCACAGGTGAGCTTCCCCCACAATAAGAGCTAAGGAGGGGCCCCCTCTATGTAATTCAGGTTTGAGCTCCTGACCTGCATTGTCAGAAGCTCAGGGAGTGCTCTCCCTGGACCACCGCACAGCTCCTACTCACCCTTTAACCTTTAACCCCTGACAAAGGCCCACTCCTCTGGCTGGGCCATCGCCGGCCCATCTGCCACCCTCATCCTTCCTCTACTGTGGCTGGATCTCAGGGACTTCACAGCCCCCACCCCCCCGCCCAGCTCTGGCCATCCAAGTCCCCCCGCCTGGGGCGGGGAGCGGGGCCTGCTACCTGCTTGTTCAGGAACAGGTCCCTTCCCAGCAGGCACTCGTCCCTGCTCAGCAGGACCCCGTCCCGAGTCTGCGGTTCTCTTCGGCAGCAGGCCTCGGGCACCTCGTCGCTGTCCAGAGTCAGCAGTCGGAAAACTGACGCAAACCGGAAGTCTTCAGGCCCATTGACGCCACAACAGCCGAACTAGGAGGAGAGCGAAGGGAAGAGTCTGGGGGGTGGGAGCTGGGCCCCGGGGGCAGAGGTGGACAGATGGCCTCCCCCAAGGCCACCATAAGGCAAGGTGGTGGAGCGGAGTCAAGATTCAGCTAGGGGTTGGCTCCCTCTTCTCCTCCTGTGTGACCCCGGGAAAGTCGCTCAACCTCTCTGAGCCTCCGGTGTCCTCCTGTGTAAAACGGGGATGGTGGTGACAATTCCCGCCTCCCCGGGCCTTAGCGCCCACTAAACAGTGGCTGTGATTACCCTCACTGACAATGACAGAGGACTAGGGTCAGGGATAGCAAACAGGTTTCAGCCGGAGTTTGGACTGTTGTTCGATGGGCCTTTAATGACGGCCCAGAATGCTGGGTGGATGGTGATTCCCAGGCCCAGGCTGGGCTCAGCGGGCCAGCCCTGACTGGTTAGTGATGTCTGGCGCAGGCACACGAGCCAAGCGGGCTCCGGAGGCCAGACGTTTGCTGCACCTGGCCTCGGGGCTTTGAAGGCTCACGGCATCCCTGGGCGGCGGGGTGGGGGGGAGGGGGGGGGCGGTCACTCACTGTGATCATGACCGAGTTCCAGGTAGCAGAGAAGACATCGGTGTCGTTGTTGCCCTGATAGTGCTTGGTGAGCTCCTTGGTGAAGAACTCGCGGGTGAGCTGCAGGAAGAGGCAGAGGGCGGTGTGAGACCCCCACGCCCCCCAGCAGCGTGGGGCAGCCCCCACCCTGGCCTGGTCTCTTCAGCTAGCTGCTTCTGGAGGGAGGCAAGGCCCCAGGGCCCCAGGGCTGGGCATTCTCCTAAACCACTCACTTGGGGTGGCCCCTGAGTCCCCACTCCAGGGCCTGTGGCCTCCCCTTACTGGATCACCGGCAGGAAGAGGAAGTCTACCCACACACCCCTCGGTGAGCCTGAGGCCGGGGCACGCACGGAAGCTCTCTCAGCCCTGCAGCTCTTCTCAGAAGCAGGGTTTATCCAGGTGGGGGGCTTGCTCCTAGCCCCACTCCCTCTCCCCGAGCTGCTCATCAGAGCCAGGGGGTACCCCGGGTCCCCGGCCCTGAAGAAGTCACGGTGTGGAGCGGGGAGTCTGCAGATCCAGTTTGTAGACGTGTCCTTGGAAGGTGCTCCTGCCCTCACAATATTCTCCCCAGGCCTCACCACCGTTCTCCCCGCTGTAGTGAAAGGACAGGGCCCTGCATAGTGCCCAGCTGCAGACTCCATTCTCTGCCCACAGAGCGGCTGCCTCTTCCCCTCTGTCCACGGCTTGCCTTCCTGCTCCCCCAGACCAGCTTGTGTCTCCGGACCCCTCACGCCTCTCTTTCCCTCCCCCTCCTGCTTCCAGGCCCCCTGTGGCTGCCGTGCCTAGCTCCTACAGACTCAGGGGAGGGGGCTGGTGCCCTGGGTGGTTGGAGCTCCTGGAAAAAGTGGCTGGTGAGGGCAAGTTGCCCAAATTGGATAATGGCCAGGGCCTCCACCGAAAGGGCTCTGCTCTGTCCTCCTGCACGTCACACATCCCAGGGCTTGGGGGATAGCCTCGCTGACTATCCCCTGCCCGTCAAACGATTATGGCTGGGCACGGGGTGGAATGGAAGATTCCAGAATCAGGTGTGGGTTGTATCAGCTGCTTTGGAAGAGCAGAGACCCTAAAGGGCCCTCCGATTCTGCCCTCTGGAAAAACCCTTGCAGGAAGAGGGTCACTGGGGTGGGGGGACCATGATTTGGGCTGGAATTGCTCGCTGAGAGGCTGCCGACTCTGCGGGACCCTCTCTGAGGAGGGGAGGGGCTGGCCACGAAGGGGGGCCGGGGCACGGGGGGGCCCCCCCGCACGTACGTTCTCCCTGAAGATGAAGGCCAGGATGGCTGCCGAGAGCTCCGCCAAGAAGATGATGAGGATGAACAGGAAGAACTGCAAAGAGAAGAGGCAGGCTCATGAGCCCCAAGGGTGGCGGGAAGGGGACAGGTGACCGCTCGCTGATGCACCCGTCCGTCTGTCACGCAATTGACCCAATGTACCAATTTTATGAGACAAAGGAACCTCACTGCCATACCCCAGACATTTTTTCATAATAGGCATACCAACAATTCATCTTTGGGGGCCAGCAAGGTAAACAAACAAATATGCCTTCCGGGCAAATGGCACCCCTTCCACGATGCCCCTTGTGCAGTGTTCAGCCTGAACAACGCCACCCGGTAGCCCTGGAGGGTGATCAGTGTTGACCTGTTTGGGCCCTTTCCACGTGGAAATCCGGAGTTCCCTAGGGACCCCTGATTGGCTTTCCCCACCCTGCCCGCCCCAGCACCACCTCTCCCTGCCTGGCCCTCTCTCCTTCCCATGAGCAGTGGGGAGACGATGTTTATCTTCAGCCACAATAAAGGAGCAAGATGGGAGGGAAGGTGATGGATCCAACAACATCTGGAAACCCAGGCGCCGGAGTTTGAAATCTAACAAGACCCTTCTCTGCTCTACTCACTGCATTTCTTGATGTTCCCCAAATTTTCCACGATGCCTCCTGTCTTGGGGCCCTTGCAGGCTACCCTCCCTCTGCCAGGAAAGCTCTTCCCTTTATGAAAGCTCCTCATTTTCCAGACCAGGCTCAGCCCAGCCCCTCGCCTGGTGGTGAGAAGCCTTTCCTGGCTCCCCCTCATCACAGTGCCCCACAGAGGTGCCCGCCCAGCAGCTGCTGCACGAGCCCCCCCCCTCCCCCCGCCGGCCCCCAGATCACGAACAGAAGCACAGAGGCTGTAAGAGCACGCGTGCTGCATTCCCAGTGTCCGCCAGCAAAGACGTCGGAACAGGGCTGTCAGACGAACCAGTGAATCCAGGACTGACCCGCTCACCACAGGACCTTGTTCCCTGCCACATCTCAGACCCTGGTCAGTGTGGGCACTGCTTTGGCTGAGGGCTGTTGGCAGAAGAAACAGGAAATGACTTTGCCTTTATTATTCAGTGTTGTAGGTGCCGTTGGCATTTCCAGTCTGTGACAATCCCGGAGTCGTCAGCCCACCTGGAGACCACCAGCAGAGGACCAAATGCCCGCTGCCCACGGAGACTGGTTCCTCCACACCCTCCCAGTCACCGCGGCCGGCTGCCCTGAGACCTGCACTGGATGTGCCCAAGCTGGAAGGAGGTGGAGGGTCCTGGGCTCAGCATCAGGCCAACTCAGCCTCTTTGTCCCTTCTTGTGGCTTGAAAAACCCCTTTGAGCCTCAGTTTCCTTGTCAGTAAAATGGGGATGCTAACATCCACTCCTGGGATCATCATGGGGAATCATGAAATAATGGATGTAAAAGTCTCTCTATGTCGTCAGAGGGCTGAGCAAAGCTTGTCGTCGAGGGCCTTACAAGTGTAGAAGGACCGTGGAAGCCAGCTCACGCGTGAGCCTCGGAGGGCCTGGCTGTCAGGGGTTCGCTCAGAGCGTTTCCTGCAGACATCCGTTGCTGTTGGCAACGCCCCTGGGTAGCCCTCCCCTGGATCGCATCTCTCCCAGTCAGAAGGTTTCTGTCACTTTATCCTCATCCTGGGAAGACCCCAGTCATGTTCCCTCCCTGACTTTTCAGCTCTAACAGCGACCGCCCCACACAGGCCCTGTGGTTTCTCCAAACTGCTTGGGCTGCAGACGGAGAGCCTCGGGATGGATTTCGAGATGGTCTATCCAGGGTGCGGATGTGAAACATTCCAAGACCTGTCAACAGCTTCATTTGTTTTTTAAATGTCCAACCCCAAGGAGAATGCCTTGCATAAACACCCCTTCACCCTCATCCCTAGTGGTCATCTATCTTCAGCCACGGGCTGGCTGGTCAAGCTGCCTCCCACATGGGCTCCAGCTCAGAGAGGCTTGTTTGGCCTTAGAAGCATCATGCTGCCTCTTCTCTCTCTGCTGGAAATTGTGGCTCAGGACTGGCCTGAGGGACTCTTCTGAGCGCTGGGGGTCTGTTTCCCCAGGATTGCTAGGGTCTGGGGGGAGAGTTCCCTGCCCAGAGGGCCCCCTGTGCCCTGGGCAGGCTTGCCCTCCCCACCCCACCACGACTCCCACAGTCCATTCTGCCAACCCCACAACCCCCACTTCCACAAGAGGCCGTGCAGCCTCTCATCCCCCGTGACAGTGATGGAGGCCCCTGGCAGGGCTCCTGGCACTTCCATTTGGCCGGTGATGGATGGGCATCCGGCCCTGTTTCACATGGCCGCCATGGGACCTCCTCCCTGCCCTCTGCCCTCTTGGTGCAGTCGCCGGCAGTTCCCAGGCTCACAAAGAGAGGCCCTGGAAATGGTTTCCATCCTCAGCGAGGCGACCGAGCTGGCTCTGGCTATCGATCATAGTTGAGACAGTCATCAACTATGGATGAGACCGAGCTCACGCCGCGTGCACAGTGCGTGCTCGGTGCCCCGGGAGCGTGGGGCACTCCGGGATGATGCAGCTAAAGGGCTTTGCACGAGGCCGGCACAGCACAGAGCTGCTCAGATGGTGGCTCAGAACCAAGAGGCAGGCACGGCTGTCCCGAGGGCAAGTGCTGGTGTGGGCAAGTCCCGAGAAAGTCATGCCGGCTATCCTCTATTGCAAGCTTACCACTGAGGCGCCATGGATCGTTCGCGGCTCCTTCCTTGGGGTGCTTTGGGCAGCCTGGTGAAGCAGTTGCGGTTGCCATCAACCCTTCCAGCTTACCCGGGGGGAGCCGGGGACCCGGAGAGGGTAACACACCCATAAGAGCCTCCAGGTCTGAAGACTTTCAGATTGCCCATAGGGTCTCTTGTGGACCAACCTAATTCTTTTAGTTTCATGTTTATCAAGTGCTTGCCTGTGCTGGGAATGGAGTTAAGCCAGATGCACATTTTTACCTTGAGCTGTGATTACAATACTGTGGCTGGGAAAGCAGTATCCTCATCTCCATTTTACAAAGGAGGAGCCTAGGTTCAGAGAGGTTAAGTAACTGCTCTCAGGTCACACAGCCAGGAAGTAGCAGAGCAGAGATTAGAACCAAGACTTTTCTGACTCCAAAGCCCATGCTCTTGCCACGCTTCTAAGACCACCTCCTCTCTGTCCCTTTATTCCAGGGCTATTCATTGAGTGCCTACTGTGTACCAGGCACTCTGCTAGGTCCTGGCAAACTCATATACACAAGGCAGATGTGGTCCCCATTGTCATGCAGTTTACGTTGAGCGGAGGTTCCTGATTGCCGAGATGAAATTCAAGAACCAGCCTAGTAACTCACTGAAGGAGAAAGTAGGGCTCTCCAGAGGGAGGGGGTCTGCAGATCTCCTTGCCATTGTCCCCTCCTGGAGCAGGGTTTCCCCAAGCCCTAGATGCCACTTCTGCCCACTGACCTTCTCCAGCACGAAATATCTTCCTCTTGCTTAACAGGGTTATCGCTGGTTATTTGGAGAAGCTCCCCCTGGACGCGGCCACGGGGCTTGTCCTGATGCCTCCGGCCTCCCGGGGCTTCCCCTCATGGGGCGGGGCCTTTCCCAGGGGTTTTAAGTTAATCTCACCTCATCCCATTTGCCGAAGGACACATTTGCCAGTAATTCCCGAACATCAAACGTTCACCACTTTGCTTCGGATGGAAAAATTAACAAAGGGATGGAAACTGCTATTTTGCCTCCTCGCAAACATTTCCAGACTTTTCTAGTCCATCTGCCTATGGGCACCTCTACTTTCAGTTCTCGTTTCTAATAAATGTTTACCAAATTTACATACTTTATGTGCCATTCAGCTCATTTATCTCCTCTAAATACACGCATCTCCTTTTGCTGTTCTCCTTTCCAATTTAGCATGCCTTTGTCATAAAATATTAAAAAAATTTTGTATCTTTAAAATAAATAGATTAAAAACATTCTGCGAATGACTCCTAGGCAAGCAACCACGAAAAAGGGATGCCACAAAAGGCCCATTATAGGCTGACATTATCCTATTGTATTTGAAAAGGCTGTAAAATTGATCGACAGGAGTGTTTGGAAACTGTATCTTTAGAAAAATTAATCATTAGGTGATGTGGTCATTAGGCTCATTGATCGGCTGAGGGTGATGGGGCCCTGGGGTTTTAGCCTCAGAGTGGGGGTTGGGGAGGGGATGCTCTGTTACCCCCACCCCAGGCCTCCCAATCGGCTGAGGTGGCCAAAGTCACTCCCTCTTGGTCCTGTTCGTGACGAGTCTTCTCTTCCTCCCCAGAAGGTTGAGGAACAGGGTCGTCAGGCTTCTCGAGGGACCCTGGAGGCTACCACGGGTAAGACATGGTGCCCCTCCTCAGCAGGAACCACCACACGGCCAGTCCAGGTCAGAAAGAGAAGCAGTTCTTGTATTTTGAGGTCATGTATCTTTTTGAAAACTTTCCAGAAGCTGTGGCATCTCTCCCCAGAAACATACATGTTCACACAGCAAAACACATGCAAACACATATGTATAGGCACACACCACACACACCACACACACACACCACACACACAATACACAACACACACAACACACACACAATACACAACACACACACAACACACACAACACACACACACCCAACACACACCCAACACACACACAACACACACAACACACACACAACACCCAACACACACACAACACACACAACACACACAACACCCAACACACACCCAACACACACACAACACACACAACACACATACACACCACACAACACACACAACACACACACAACACACACAACACACACAACACACAACACACACAACACACACAATACACAACACACACACAACACACACAACACACACACACCCAACACACACCCAACACACACACAACACACACACAACACCCAACACACACACAACACACACAACACCCAACACACACACAACACACACACAACACACACAACACACATACACACCACACAACACACACAACACACACACAACACACACAACACACACAACACACAACACACACAACATACACAATACACAACACACAACACACACAACACACACAATACACAACACACAACACACACAACACACAACACACACAACACACACACAATACACAACACACACACACAACACACACAACACACACACAACACACACACACACACACTAGGCCCTAATGTAATATTTTGCACATAATTTTAGGTGAATTTCAGACATGTGAGTCCATTTTAGGTTAGGAGCCTCTTGACTAGCCCTGGTCTGAGACACAGGGAGCCTGGGTCCAAGAGTCCCCTGCCTGTGACTTGCACTGAGACCTCAGGCTAATAGGCACTGGGCTTCAGAGAGGGGAGGAGAGGGGAGGGATGAGAGGAGAGGGAGAAGGAGGAGGGGAGAGGACACAGGGAAAGTAGGGAGAGAGGAGCAGAGACTAGGAGAGCTCAGGAGAAGGATAAGGAGAGGCAGCAGGAATAGAAAGCAGGAGATAAGAGGCAGAGAGACGGAGGCAGAGAAAACAAGAAAAGAAAGGGATGAACGTAGGTAGGTCTCCTAGATCTTGAGACTAATGGAGAGAAAAGGGAGGAAGGAGAAGGTGGCGGAAGAGAGGGGTGGAAGGGGTACTTTAAGGTTCTAAGGGAGCTCAGCTCTCCCTCGGTGGGCTGGGGCGAATCTCAGGTGGTCCCTAGGTCTTGGTTTTCTCCACAGGGACCATGTACCCATCCAGTGGCAGGCTCAGAGGCTGCCGGTTTGTGGGGAGGACTCTCAAGGCCCCCAGCCTGCTCCCAGCGCAGCGCCCCGGCCTGGCCTCCTGTCTTGGCTTCAGAGATGAGACCCCGGGGGGCTGAGGCAAAGCGGGGAAAAGAGGGGTTGGCGTGACCTGGGACCCACATCCCAGCTCCTTTTAAAGTACCCGTGGGCTCCCAAGCCTGCGTCGCCCCGGCTGGCACTGTAGAGGGCTTTCCGCCAGGGGGCGCCCGCAGGTTTCTTTGTTTCTCCTCAAATGCGAGGTTCGCAGTGTGCAGGCTGCTGAAGGCCAAAAGGGACCCCGGCTCCCGGGTCACACATTTCACAGCTGATTTCACTTCCTGTCTGGGATGTGGGGAATCTCACCGTGACACGAACGGGGGCCGTACGGCCTGTTCTAATCTGGGGAGGAGGCATGGTGCCAGATCTCTCCCTCCCAAAGCCACGGGAGCCAACGCACTGCAAGACAGTCCTCCCGCTGAGCCGCCCACGCGTCCGGGATTGCTCGACTCCCGACCCCTCCACCCACTCCCCCACGAGGAGCATCTGCACGTTGACCCACCCACACACACTCTTCCCTAAGCAGGGCTGTCTTCACCTGGCCCTGTAGCGCGACTGGGCTCCAGCTAGAAGCTCTCCAAGCCCTGGGCGCCCACAGGACCTCACTGGGGTGGGAGACCCACCCACCAAGTCCAGGAACATAGGCAGAGGCCCAAAGGACCCAGCCCACGGGAATACGGAAGGTCAGAGAAACAGAGCATCCGCTGGTGGCCTCATTTGGTGCCAACCTCCAGCTAAGCTGCCCCTTGTTTAACAAGCCAAGATGCCAAAGCTCAGGGAGGCTAAGACACCAGACCAAAGTCACATCATTAGTTAGGGGACAGAGCAGGGTGCACCTGAAACCCAGGCCTGCCCACTGCCCTCTCATCCCCCTGGGCCTCCCACCGCCCACGTGCCTGTCCACCAGGGCCACTCCTGGAGGACAGCCTAGCTCGCTGGCTCAGACCTGGGTGTGACCGCGGAGGGCCCTGCAGTGTAGACACAGGCCCCCCGCCCCCACTCTGCCCCCGGGGGCACCCACAGGTGGGGTGGGGGTGGGGCTACTCACAAACAGCAGCAGGCACTTGTTCTCACGGACGGCCCCACAGCAGCCCAGGAAGCCGAGCAGAAAAAGCAGGCCGCCCATGGCCAGGAGGATGTAGGCGCCCGTGATAAGCAGGGGGTTGGCGGCCACGATCTCCCGGAAGCCGGTGGGGTCCACCATGACCCAGATGCCGATGCCCAGCAGGCAGGCCCCACCCAGCTGCTCTCAGGGTCGGTCGGGAGCGGGGAGAAGAAAGAGGCAGACAGGGGGGTTAGACGCTCCACACACACACACACCATCTCCCCTGAGTCAGAACAAAACAGTTTGGCCTCATCCAGATTTGACTGGGGTGAAGTGTCTGAAATCCCTGTGTAGTGGGAGGATCAGAGGTCCCCCGAGGTCCCCCAGAGGCACGAGCCAGCAATGCCAGGCTGTGGCTAAGAGCAAACTGGTGAGCTTTGGGTGTCTGAGAGGGGTCTGTAAGCTGGTGGGCAGAACTGCAAGGCTTGGGGCTCGGAGCAGGAGACAATATTCTTAGGTACAGGGGTAGGGGCAGAGGGGCGGCGGAGAGGCCGGAAGGACCCAGCATTGGTTGGAGAGAAAGGGAAGGCCAACAGGGACTGCTGATGACAGAGTGCCCATGGTCACCCTGTGCTGGACACTGCCTTTCCCCTCCGTCCCTTACAAAGCTCTGGTAAAAGCTACCTCCTCATTGCTCTTAAGGTTTTGGGGTTCAACAATTGTGTGCTGAAGGCTCCTTCAAGGGCTCAGACTGAGCTGCCCAAGGGGACATAGCCCCATTGCAGGTGGGGACACTAGAGCTGGCCACCTGAGCGCTCAGGGCCTCTGTGCTTTCAAGTACAGAATCCACAGGCTGAATGCGGCTGGAGCTAAGCTAGCCAGTGCGGCCACATTCCAGGCACTTCCTAATAAACCAATCTTGCTTAGTTTTCAAAAAACCTGTTGAGGTAGGTAATGAAGGGATGAAGATACTGAGGTTCAGAGAGGTGAAATGTGTTTCTGATCACACAGCGGGTAAGATGCAGAGCCGGCTTTGGGTTCAGATTACATCAGGTGGTCACAGCAGCTCAGCCCAGCCAGCTCGGAGGCGTGCAACTGCACTGGGTTGAGTGGGGCTGTCTGGGCTGCCCTCTTCTCCTTCCCCTCCTTCTCTCCCACCCTCCACCAGGGGTCGGATCCCCAGGCAGCAGCCAGGATGAAGGCCCCTACCCTTTGTACAAAACATCTCCCCTGTGACCACGGGCTCTGTGGAGTGGGGCGGGCACCATTGGCGGCCTCTCGTCTGGGAAATTCTGGCTGGCTGGGGAGATTTGCTTCTGGCACTGGCCCCTGTCCTGCCCCCAGGACTCAGCCCGGTGTGACTATTTCTCAGCCACGGTCTGTTCTGCCCACCCAGCAGAGGCCTAGGGAGATCCCAGGCACGCTCCAGCAATACTTACAAATATGAAGAAATTGAAAACAAACATCAGATACTTCATGCAGCTGAGACAGTCGCCTTCCATGGTGTTCTACCTACAAGACAGCAAGCCCCTCAGTTTCCCTGCTGGGGGACCCCACCTAGAACGAACCCTTGCCCCTCCCCCGTGGGGCTTCCCCGTGGTCAGCCCTGCCCTTGCAGCCCAGATGGTGGAGGAAGAGGGAGACCGGTAACAATTACCTCTCTCGGAGGTAGCTTTTTACCTCGTGGGGCCAGAGTGAGGAGTGAGAACTCGGGGAAGCAAACCTGCCTGGGTTCAAGCCCAGTTCTACCGTCCGTTTGCTGTGTGGCCTTGGGCAAATCACTCTACCTCTCTGAATCTTGTTCTTTCCAACCTGAGAAAGGAGATTAAAAACAGAAGCTTCCTCCCAGCCGTATTGTGAGGATTCACGGAAATAATGCAGTAACATGCTTAGAACGATGTCCAGCAGGTGGCAAGTGTTCAGCAGGGCTGCCTCGAGACAGGGCTTGATTGCAGAGGTGAGCCTTCCATTGGGCAGACGAGCCACCCAGGCTCAGAGCCTTCAGGAACTTGCCAAGGTCATGGAGCAGGATCAGAATCCGGGCCTCACAAACTTCCTGCCGCCCCACACGCCCTCCTGCTTGTAGGACAGCCCAGGGCTATTCCATGGTGCCAATGGACGAGTGTCACAGGGGAAAGGGGGGGCGGGCACCTACCTAGGGGCCCAAGCCCCCTTCCCGAGGCCAGACCCTCCCCACGCCCTGACTACCTCCATAGTGAGACCTATGGCATCCCACCTACCTAAGGAGCCTTCCCCGTCTCTGCCTAAAAGTATGCCCCTGGTAGCGAGTCTCTGCATACTATTCTGTTCAGCCAACATTTACTGTGTATCGACTGGGTGCCACGAACTGGGGCTTGAAGCCAATAAGATGCAGCCCTTCCGCATCCCCAGGGGAAGCAGACAGCAGCATCTGCTCTCACGAGTCAGACCTCAAGCACACGGTCACGTCCATATTCAGTAGTCAGTATTGCCATACTTTCTTCATGACGGCCCGGGGAGCGACTTGGGGCAGGGGTCAGAGGTCCATGGGACAGGTGAGGAAACCAGGCTCACGATGAAAATAGCCTGGCCAACCTCCCCCAGCTGGTAAGGGCCACGGCTGCAGCTCAGCCTGGCCTGAGTCCCTCTCCAGGTGACCCCAGCAGGTGGTCTGCGCTTCCGTGACAGGACGTGGTGCAAAGGGTCCTGGGAGTATGTGTTGGACGTGGTCGAGTGTAGGGAAGCTGGTGCTTGGTTACTTTCCACGGTTTCCCATCCTCCCTCGGGAGAGAGCTGGGCTCAGTTTGTGGCAAGGCGTAAGTGATTATCAGAGAGATTGAGGGATTTGCCCAGGGCCACAGAGCGTGTAGGAAGCAATGCTAAGATCTAACACCAAAGCCCATGCACTGTGCCTGGTACACGGTGGGCACTCAGCAAATCTGCGCCGTCCCCACCCCAGACCATAACCCGATGCCCTCCCCGGCAAGGAAGGCCTCATAGTCTAAGGAACAAAGGGGCCAGGGCTATGCTCGCCTCCCGCACTCCTGGCTCATTCCACTTGGAGATGACAGGACCAGCCCCGCGCAGCATTTTGGTCAAGGCTAGAGGGTTTTTAAAAGTGCATTTGAATCCATGGGGAGAAAAGCACAGGCAGAACCCGCTGCTGGGGAAGGGCGTGCAGGAAAGGCTGGTGCCTCTCATCTCCTCTTCTTGTGGTTTTTGCTAGTGTGCCAAGCATTGACCTTGGCACTGGGCAGTGGCCATGGCACCACCCGGGCATCTGGGAGTCCATGAGGAAGGTGCTGGGTCAGGCAGCCAAGGGCCCTGGGGCCCGAGGGCTTCCCTCCTTACATGGCCTGGCTCCTGCTGGCTGCTCGGCTTGGCTGATTGAGCAGGGGACACCCAGGCAGGGCACAGAGTACCCAAGCCAGATGCGCTTTCTTATTTTATTGGGTGGCAGAAACCAAAGCATCAGACCACACAGTGATGAATACAAAGCCACTCCAAAAGAAAATCAGGGAGTGAACTTGAACCGAGGGCTCCAGGCTCAAAGCCTTTGTCCTTCCGAAGGTGCCTGGCCCAAGGGCTTTTGTTAGATTGGGTGAGAGGAGAAGGGGAACACAGGGTTCCTGGGGTCACCTGACTGGTCGCCACCCCTGGGAATAATAACATTGAGCATTTAGTAGGTGCAGGGCTCCATCCTCGGCACTAGACATGTATTAAGTCACAAAAACCTATGAGATAAGTACAATCATCATCCCAATTTTCTAGAGAAGGAAACTGAGGCAGAGAAAGGCTAGGCAACTTGCCTGAGGTTGCAGCTGGTGAGTGGTGAGGCCGAGATTTGAACCCAGGCAGTCTAATTTGGAAGAACAAAGGAGAGAGAGAGAGAGAGAGAGAGTGTGTGTGTGTGTGTGTGTGTGTGTGACTCTTCTTTCCTTCACTGAGCTGTGGCCTGAGTTTATGAAATGTCATCTGCCTCCAAAGCTAGAATCTGGTGACACCATCCACTCCGTCTCAGGGATCCTTCAAGTGCCTCCAGCCTCAGTCCCGCTCCCAGCCTCCTCCTCTCTCACCCAGATGTGGCCTCAGCCCTGGCCTGGGGTCTCCCTACCTCCAGCCACTCCCCTTCCAGCCAGTGCCCCCACAGGGGCCTTTCCACAAGGCACATCCAGCCACATCAGGCCCCTGCTAACCGCCTGGCCTCTACAGGAGACCAGCCACCCCTTAACCGTGGACTGCAAGGGCCTCCAAGACTCCCACGACCACCTTTTGGTATGCTTCTGCCCCATCGACATCAAAGGACAGTCCCCGGAGCTCACTTGGTGACTTGATCCCTTCTGCTCGGACTGCCTTTCTACCTCCTCCCTTCCCACTTAATTCCTGTTCATCCCTCAAGGCATCACCTCTATCCCCGACACCCTCCATCCTGTCCCTGCCTTCCCAAGAGCTCCCACGGCCACTGCTGATCTCCACCCCCGCCTCCCCCACACTGTGTAGGATTACGTCATCAGCCAGTGTTCTGGTGAGCTCCCGGAGGCGTGGGATGGCAGCTGTGCCCTCCTCCAGGGACAGAGCAGGGATTGGTACGTGGTCTGGACTGCATAAAGCCCCACCACCTAGCCAACGTTAATTAAACAGCACGGGCAGGAAGCCTGGCTCGAGGCTAAGGGCTTTGCGTGCATCGCGTCTTTGTGTCCTCGGCACCCCCAGCAGTTAAAAAGAGGGGGCTTGAGGATCCACACAAGCAGAGGGGCTCCCAACCTCCTCCTTTCCTCTCTCTGCTGTGCCCTCTCCAGAGCGAGGACAGGCCCCACGTGACTCCTTCTGATGCCCCATGTGCCTGCCTTTGTCTCCGGATCTTCTTGAGGCCGGAGAGCCTAGAGCTGCCCCGGATAGGCAGGATCAGGAGGACCTGTCCCTTCCTTTGTCCTGGGACCCAACCTCCCAGTGGGCAGTGGGAGGGCTGAGATTCGGTGGGGACCCCCAGGTCTGACCAGCTAGCTGTTTAGCCAGCCTGCCTTCTGATTGGTCCACGCCAGTGCCCACCCATTCTTTCTTGACCATCTTGACCCTCACCCTTAGCCGTGGGTCATCTCTGTCTCCTCCATCAGCCCTCAGCCCGGGCTCTCTGCCTCCGGGGCAGCTCCCCAGGATGCCATCTCCATGCCCACCTACCAGCCACACCCCTCCTCTACCTCTAGCCTTCTAGAAGCAGCATCTCACCTGCATCTAACACAGTGGTTCTGAGAACAGGCTCTGGAGTCGAACACACCTGGGCTCCAATCCTGGCTCTTCATCTTTCTACCGCTATGTCTTTGCTAAATGACCCAACCTCTGGGAGCCTCAGTTTCCTCGTCTGCAAGAATGGGCATTGGGTTGCCCACATCATCACTGTGGTGAGAAGTCAGTGACTACACTGGCCTGGAGCGGGGTGGACAGCCCTTCCCATGGCCACGCCAACCCGGCAGGTGTACGGGCCTCCCTGGGCCGCTGTGCGCCCTGAGCTCAGGACCCCAGGACAGTGGCCTGAACCCTAGGCGCTGCACTCCGGCCCCCTCTCCTTTTGGTACCAGGCCAACTCAACTCCACATGTCTGCTGAGACTCGGCGCCCTTTGGAAATGGGGACAAGGACAGGAAAGAATATTTATTCAGCACTGACTCCTTGCCAGCCACATGCCACCTCCACGAAGCCCTCTTTCAATGACCCCATGTGCCCTCTTTCAATGACCCCATGAAGAGGGAAGCACTGCCCATTGTACAGATAGGGACACTGAGGCTCAGGGAAGGGAAGCGACCTGCCCAACATCCCAGGGCTTATAAGCATGCTTCTCAGCCCACCCCAGATCCTGTGCTCCACCTGGTCTGGGGGCAGCTTTCAGGTAGAGAGAAGGGCAGAAGGAGCACTGGACTGGGAGTCCAGAGCCTGAGTCTCCTGCCCTGTGAGTCACTTCCTCTCTCTGGCCTCAGCATCTTCTTCTGCAAAATGATGGAGCAGTTTGATGACTTGTCAGTTCCTTCCATCAGGCTTGAACCAGATGGGCCTTTGGAGGGCAGAACTGCCCCACTAAGATGCTGGAAGTCTGCGAGACGCCAGGCTCTAGCGGCCCCCTCCTCGGCCCACCCAGGCAAAGCTGCTCCCCAGGGCAGGATCTGGCTTCAGCTGGCTTTGGCTTTGTAGCAATTAAGGGGCTTAATAAATACGGCAGCTCATAAACGGGCTACCTGTATTTATTACGTACCACGTTCGTTACCGATTACATCTAATGGGTAGCTTGTGGCGTGCTGGGCTCCTGGACAAATGCAGTAAAAGGAGCGTTGTCTCTGGGAAGAAGAGCCTCTGACAACCTCAAAGGTGAAGCAGGTAGAAAAATAGATGATGGGAGCTAGAGGGCAGATGGAGATCCAGAGGCCCAATTCCAGCTCCAGGGCGAGGGGTGTGAGTGGAGAGAGGGCGTTGGTTCCTGACCAAGGATCGAATCCCAGCCCTGCTAGGCTTCGCTGGTGGCTGGGGGCAAGTTCCTAAACTGCATGCATCTGAGTTTCCTTGTCTTTAAAATTAGTATAAAAATAATGCTTTCCTCATAATGCATGGAAAATAGGGAGCGCAGGGCTTGGCACGTGGCAGCTCTAGCAACAGCTAGTAACTGTTGGCAAATCTTAAATTCTTACCACGGGCCAAGGAACATGCACAATCTCAATCCTCATAAAGCTCCAGGGTAGAGGTAACTTTATCTCCACTTATCAGGCCAGGGAATTGGGGCTCAGAGAGGTGCCATCACTCATTCAAGGTCACACAGCACGGAAGTGCCTCAGCCAGGATTTGAACCCACGTCTGTCTTCATCTGGAGCCACAACTCTTCATCATCATTTTCGATAAGTGCAAATTACCTCGCCCCATTCATCCATCCTCCTCCACAATGCAGGCCTGTCTTCATACCTCCACTGGTACCTCATTTCTCCCTGTTCAGGGCGATCAGCCTTCTGGGCCATCATCCACCGCCAGGCTGAAGTCACAAGACTGACGCCAGCCCGCTCCACCTGCCACCAGGCGTTTCTGAGTGTGGGACACACCTCCTTAGCCAATTGGCCAGACAAGAGGGACAGACAGAGCCCAATCCCTGCCTGGGATCTGGCTGAGAGCGCCACTCACCCACAGAGCCCTTTGGAAGTTAAGTGAATCACAGCCCAGTTCCCTAATTTACCTCTAAGGAGGGTGGGGACATAGTCAGTCTCTGGAAGATGGGCTGAGAAGAATCTTGAGACTATGAGGTCCTGTTTCTCAGAAATGATGCTCAAAGGCACTTATGAAGGAGAAATGGAGGTCTCTCTGCTGAAGGGAAATGATACGCCCTCCCTGGGCCCAGGGTGAAAGGCCCACTGGGGTTTGCCCAATCCCTGGAGTTGACAGGGACCTGGAGGGGAGCCTGGCCCCTCCACTTTCCAGCCTCATGACCTCGGACAAACACACAGTTTCCCTGGGCCTCTGCTTTCACGTCTGCAAAATGGGGCCAGGAATGCTGACCTCAGGAAAAAGTGTGGGCTGAAGATCGAATGGGACTAGATGCAGGGCACCTCACGTCACACCTGGCACACGGTGGCTCCGTCCCTCTTCCCTCCCTGCGGCTCCGCCGTGAGGCGGCTCCTCTCCCCTACTCTTTCGGACAGCAATACACTGGCTAAGTTCCCCGCGTCAGGAGAGAGGGGAGGACTCTGATGCGGAGGATTTCTGAGTGGGAAGAGTGGTTCTCAAACTGGATTCCCTGAGACTGGCAATCTCCTAAAGCTATTTTCAGGATTGCAAAGAACACCTCAGAAATCATCCACTCGCTCACCACCAGCTGGCTCAAGGGGCAAGTATCTTGGGTTTTGGGGGCAATTAAATCACCCCAGGCTGGGGACCCTATTTCTTGGGTTGTTCAGAAGCTCTAACCCCCATGTATATATGACTTTGCAGTACAAAAAATGCAGGAGAAACTCGAATGTATGCCTAGGAAATGACTTGGTAAAGGCAGCACTGTTTGGTAGATAAAATCCTTTAAATCTTGGGGCCCAGAGGGATGAAATGTGGGAGTCAACATTGCAGGCAGAGTCGACTTCATGTGAGTTCAACTCCCCCCGTGCTCGGGGAGAGCGTGTAGGGGAGCCGGCTGGGTGCTGAGGTTCCACGCAGGGTTCTGACCCAGGGTGAGCATTGGGGGGGGGTTGGGGGCTGCGGCCCTGGCTCTCATGGTCTCAAGGCTCCTGTCGTGGTGCCTGTCATGGTGTCCCCTCACCTGGCCAAGTGACGGCTCTGGGCTCACAGACAGGTGTTTCATCATACAACGTGACCCCCAGATGCAAGCGACTACTCCTCATACAACGAAACCCAGTGGTTCAGAGCTTTAAGGGGATTTAAGGGAAACTTCTCTCTGACACTACTGATCGTGTCACTGGTGGTTTAGAAGCTGGTGCTTGTGTAATTTATGACACCAGCATTTTCCGTAACAGAAGTTCTCGGTCATAAGCAGGTAGGGCCCCCTCGCTTTGGAAATGAGAAAACAGGCTGAGAAATGGAAAGGGGGTGCGGCCAAGTCAGCAAACCAGTTAGTGATGGATGTGAGCCGAGCACCCTGGTCTTGAAGGCCAGGTCAGGGCCCTGGGAATACACTCCAGGCTCGGTCTTGTGCTTGTTTATGTTGGTAGCACGTCTCTTCCCTTGTTAGAACGCATGCTTCATAAAGGCGGGGACTTGTTTTGTTCACTGCCTTATTCCTTGAGTCCTGAGCAGTGCCTGGTACACAGTGGGTCCTCAATTCATAGGTCTGAATGAATGAATAGTGGGAAAAGAGAAACGGAGACAGAGTGCAGATCTCACAAATCAGAGAAACAAAGGTCAGGAAGAGAGGGAAAGACGGAGAAAGACAGACAGCAGGAAGTGACGTGGGTCGAGACAGACAGACTGAGAAAGAACTGAGGACGAGGCAGGGCAGTGTCAGGGGAGAGGGCAGAGGTACACAGGGAGAGAGGGGGCGCCAACTGCTGACTTGTCACCTGGGCAGTTCTTTGGGCGTCAGCAGGACAGAATCTCCCGGCCAGAGGGCCTCTTGTATATTCTTTTATTGGCCCAGCTTGTCCTAGAAGGAGAAAATATCCAATTACTATAGCAAGTCAGTAAGGAGCCGCCACGTTCAAGAAGCTGTTTATGAAAACCTGCCCTACGGATGCACACAGGGCAAGTGCCTGGCTAATCTGGGTCCATTAGCGCTAATGAAAAGCTCTCAGCAGCTGGGCCCACTCCAGCTGGGGAGGCCCGCACGGGGGGCCTGCCCTCTGCCCAGATGGCAGCTCCTGGGTCCTCCCAGGAGCTGTGCGGGGAACCACAGTTTTAAGAGACTCTCGGCTTCTGGCACGGGCTTCATCTGTGCTGATGGACCGCATGTGGCTGAGGCACTGAGAGGAGGCGGCGGGCCTGGTGAGTCACACACTTGGATGCCACCTGGATGTCACCTGGGCATCTGCAGCGAGGCCTCAGCCGGGAGAGTGACAGCAGGGGCATGTTCCTCAAACCCCCGCCCCAAGGGAGAAATTGGATGCTGGAAAGCGTTGCTTCGCCTCACAGAAGGATTTGCCAGAAGGCTCCTATAGGGAGCCGGAGCCCAGCCGTGGAAATGAGGGCTTGCTTTCAGCCGTCAAATGGGCCCAGATGGAGGCCTGTGTTCTGCCACACCTCTGGGGAAGCCCACGGCTGGGTCCTGTGCTAGGAGGGCCTGGAATAGTGAGGAGCTTGGGCCGCGGGGGGGGCGTTCTCATTGCGAGGAAGGGGGAGACTTGGGGGTCTCAGGTGCCAGATGAGATTCCTTCCCGTTCATATCAGTGGAGGGGTGGTGGACGAAAGACTCCTCTCCATCCATGCATGCATCTGCTCGGGAGACACGTATTGAGTACCTACTGTGTGCTGGGCGCCCTGTTAGGAACCGGGGATGCATCTAAGCTCACCCTCTGTGTCGGGTAGTGGCGGTGGAGGAGATTGGAGGAAAGAAAGCGATGACGATAGGGCTGGGGACCCACAGGAAGGAGGACTAACCGTCCACGGGTGTAACTCCACTCCACTGGGGGCAGTTGGGGGGGGTTCTTGGGGAAGGGGCAGCACAGGGGAGCAAGTCTTGAGGAAGCGTGGAGGCGAGGCTGGGCAGATGGAAAGGCAAGAGAAGGGGCCTCCCTCCTGAGAGCTCGCTGAGGCCCCCCATACCCCTATTTGGCCTAAACACACACACACATGGCAGGCTCGTCAATCGCCTGTCTTTGGATCTGCGGCAGAGAGCTTTGGGCTACAAGCTCACACGTGAGCTCCCTGAATGCTCACGACACCTGGAAGTAGGGCTCACGGAGGCACGGCCCTTTACCAAGAGGAAGCCAAGCCCGGCGGGGGAAATGGCTTGTCCAGCATCACACAGCTAGGACGCCTGGGAGCTGGAGTGCAAACCCAGAATGGGGATCAGAACGAGCTCTGAGAGAAAGTGCTTTATCCGCCCGTGTGGGATCACACTGCATCCTCACAGCAGCCCTGCTGGGTGGGCTATTGGCCCATTTTACAGAAGGAAACGGAGACTGACTGATATAAATGGCAAAGCTGAGCATCCTCCTGTGATCCCAGGAGATCCCAGGCAAGGCGTCCGAAAAGCCGTACTGGGAGCCAAGAAGGGGAGGGGGGCAGATGCCCAGCCCCATCTGGCCTAAACAGTGATGAATCCTGTGAAATCGGCCCTCGGGCTGAGGGGAGGTTCTGTGCACCCTGGCCCCTACCAGGCAGGACACAACCAGCAGGGTGGGCACGAGGGAGTGGGGGGAGCAGGGAGAAACCCCCTGGGTCCAGGTAACGTCCAAGAGGCTCTGGGCTGGAACTTTGTCCAGGGATGGCTCACAGGGCGAGAGGAAGCCAACTCAGGCTCCTTTCTAGAGCTAGGGTCTCTGCAGTTAGGGAAAGGAGCCCCAATTCTAGTTCAGGGGCTGTACCCCATGCCTAGCCCCGCTGCGGGGCTCAGGGAAGTGGGGAGGAGTCAGTTTTCTCCTACCCCTGTTTTTCCTCCCCCAGCCCAGCCCTGTCCAGCATCTCAGGCTGGCAGTTGTCCTGAGTATGATGTGACCCATTTTCCTCTGGACACTGAGACTGGAACGAGAGGCCCTGGTGGCACACAAGGCCCATCCAGTGACAAGGAGGAGGCACTGAACTCCGTTTGGCACCTGCCCGCCTCCTCTTCACTGGATATCCCTGCCCCATTGTATGCCGGCTCCTGGGCTGAAATGAGCTTACCCCTCTTTGGGGTTCCAACTGCCCTGAACAACCTCCCATCTCTCTTTGTCCTTCCTGCTCCCCCAGTCATGGCCTGGCTCCCGTTTCCTGACCCAGCAAAGATCTGTGTTAAGGGGAAGCTGGCAAAGGGCAGCCGAGGGGATGCCTGCCACATGCACCCCATCTCAGCTGGGACGGCACTTGCCTTGGCCAGCTCCTCTGAGACCTTCTTCTAGAAAGTCACTAACCCTCCCTGAGATGCCACATTCTCCTCTGAAAACTGTGATCCTCAATTTCAAAGTCAAATGTGGTTGTAAGAATTCATGATATGGGGGCGCCTGGGTGGCTCAGTCAGTTAAGCATCCGACTCTTGGTTTCAGCTCAGGTCATGATCTCAGGGTCCTGGGATCGAGCCCCAAGTCCGGCTCTGCGCTCAGCCTGGAGTCTGCTTGAGTTTCTCTCTCTTTCCCTCTCCCTCTGCTCCTCTCCCTGCTCATACTCTCTCTCTCAAATAAATACATCTTAAAAAAAAAAAACCAATTCATGATATGAAGCACATGAAATTAACTGATATGATATGAAAACCCTTGGAAACCTGCAAAGTACTTTTCCCATGGGGAGCTAGTATTACCAGTAATATCACATAGTGGAAATAAGTGGAGTCATCAGTGGAGGAGGGCATGGGGGAGAACCCTGGGCAAATGGCTTGGTCGGGATAGCTACAAACATCTTTCCCCTATGTGGCCCTAAATTCAAGTTAACTGCTACTATTTTGCGATAACTGACTCTAACGATAACTCATAGTACTGCGTGTTAACCACGGAGCAGGCTTTGCTAAGCATCTCTCCTTTGTACTCCTCGCCTACGAGGTCGGTACCCTTATTATCCCGTTTTCTATATGAGGCAGCTGAGATTGAGAGAATGTAATGAACTGGCCTGAGCTTATTCACATGGTTAGTCAGACACGGCCACGATTCAGGCATAAGCCAGCTGGATTCCAGATCAGAGCTCCCAACAAGACACCAGCCCACGGAGAGGACACGCGAAAGAGGAAGAGCTATGCCTTGGGCTCCAAAATTTCCAACCCAGGGCTGCTCTATCCTGAATCAGGCAACCAGGCCGACTCCCAGGGAGCCAGCTAGCATCCTCCCCTGTGCCACCTGGAGGTCCCTGGGGGATGACCCAATCCTGCCATCCCTTGACAGATGGGAGCCCTGAGGCCCAGAGAGGGGCAGAGACGGGTGAGGTCACGCAGTGCCTTGGGGTTCTCTTGTGCAGGCCCCTGCCTGGGCCAGACAGCTCTATTAACCTTGCCCCTCCCACCGCCCCAGATGGCGGTTCAATCCCATCTGCACAGTGAGGGCCCGGGAGGGGTTCTCTGATTAAGAAGAACAGCTCAGTTCATAAATCACTCCTTTTACTCTCACTGCCCTCGGCTCCCGGGCATACTTTCTGGAGAGAGAGAGAAGGAGGCAGGTGGACACGAGCGATGGAGAAGCCCCATGGGAGGAAGCAAATGCAGGTCTGGGCTGGGGTAGAGCCCAGAAGTGTCTTGCAAGCGCCCCAGCCAGGCGAGGGCGCTGTGGGCCAGGGCAGAGCCTTCAGGGTCCCACTGGAGCCACCACGCCCCGCAGCAGCCTGGCTTCCCACCAGCAGGGCTCTGCCCCGACAAGCTGCAAGATCTGGGCCAGTCTGCCTCCTGAGCTTCTGTCTCCTCACCTGTAAGATGGGGGTTTTCAGAGCCTTTGTGGCTACCGGGGGGGGGGGGGTAGGGTGGGGTGAGTGGGTGGGTGGAATGATGGAGCTTAAAGGGCTTTGGTGGCTGCACATCCAGTTCCTTCCTTCCTGCATGCCAGGCCCCTGCTAGTGCCAGCCCTGGGCGTGGGCCAAGGCGCAGACAGCGGTGGCTTTCCTCCCGCAAGGACTCACTCAAATCTAGTGCCAAGCCGTAACCCCACATTGGAGAGGAGTGTTAACAGCCATCCCAACCGAGTACTCTGGGCCAGCCCCAAGAAGCAAGGGCGGGGCTGGAGGGGGCGCTTATTGCGGGGGGGCCGGGGTGCGGGGAGCACAGGGCCATGATAAGGCGCTGTGTCCTGGGTGCTCACCTAGAGCGATCTTACTCGATCCCACAAAAAGCTAGGCAAAACAGACGATCCCACCATCATTCCCTTTCACAGCCCGGGAAACCAAGGCTCCACAGGGCTAGAAAGGTCCCAGAGCCAGAACCGACACCAGGTTTGCCGGCCTCTGAGCCCTGTTTTCCTTCATCAGGACACGCACGAGGCAGAGGCTTGTCAGGATAAAAATGACCCTTGCCATCAGGTTCAAAGCTGAGGGGGGAGGAATTATTTGCTCGCTGGCTGCCTGCTGGGCCTCCTCCCAAGACAGACAGTCTCGTAAACAAGCAATTGGCCCGAAATCCTGGTGTGCCTGGTGATGGCGCGGACATGGGGACATGGACACAGCTGAGCGGGGGCTCAAATCTAATTAGGCTCCCGGGGGCGGCACCGTGAAGGTTAACCAGGCAGAGCCTGCCAGGGATGCAATGGGATCCTAAAAGACAGCCTCTCCTGCCCCCCAGACTCACAGAATCGTGAATGTCGAGGGCACAGAACGTCTGATCTGCAGGTCTAGGAAGGTCCCATCTTGAGGGTCCCTGCCACAACCCTTTCCCCTGTCCCAGAACTCCCATGGGCCTGTTTCCATCAGAGAATCTTCAAAGAAGGAAGTGCCTTCGGGAAGGTGACCTCCAAATCTCTCTTTTCACAGCGGATGCTGAAGTCCAGAGGGGGACGGGGTCCTGCCCAAAGTCACACATCACAGCTGGAAGCAGGAGCTCCC